ACCTCTGCCCGTCCTACCACCTGTCCTCTGGACCCTATCCCCTCTAACCTCCTTCAGACTATCGCTCCTGATATTCTACCGTTTCACACCCATTTCATCAACACTTCTCTAACTTCTGGTCACTTTCCAAACAGTCTCAAGGAGGCAAGAGTAAACCCTCTCCTAAAGAAACCCACTCTCAACCCGTCTGATGTTATAAACTACAGGCATGTCTCTCTCCTCCCGTTCCTGTCAAAAACACTTGAACGCGCTGTCTTTAAACAACTCTCCTGTTATCTCCATCAGAACAACCTTCTGGATCCGCACCAGTCTGGTTTCAAGGCAGGTCACTCAACAGAAACTGCTCTCCTTGCTGTCTCTGAGGAACTGCACACTGCTAAAGCAGCATCCCTCTCCTCTGTCATCATCCTTCTGGACCTGTCTGCTGCATTCGACACGGTGAACCATCAGATCCTCCTTCGCACTCTCCAAGAACTTGGAGTTTCTGGCACTGCACTTCCCTCCTCACCTCATACCTCAAAGACCGCACCTACAGGGTAACTTGGAGAGGGTCGAGTCCGACCCTAGTCAATTAACTACAGGGGTCCCTCAGGGCTCTGTTCTTGGTCCCCTCCTCTTCTCCTTGTACACAAACTCGCTCGGATCTGTCATTAGCCCCGCATGGTTTTTCATACCACTGCTACGCTGACGACACCCAATTAATTCTGTCCTTTCCCCGCTCAGAAACCCAGGTCGTCGCACGCATCTCTGGTGTCTAGCTGACATCTCTCAGTGGATGTCTGCTCATCACCTCAAGCTCAACCTTGACAAGACTGAACTGATTTTCCTTCCGGGAAAATATTGTCCCACTCTTGACCTAACAATCAACATTGGCACCTCTGTTGTTTCCCCGACTCAGACTGCAAGGAATCTGGGTGTGACCCTAGATAACAAACTAGTCGTTCACTGCAAACATTGCTGCTACAACCCGCTGCTGCAGATACACGCTTTACAACATCAGGAGGATACGTCCCCAGCTGACCCAGAAAACAGCGCAGGTTCTGGTCCAGGCTCTCGTCATCTCACGCCTAGACTACTGCAACTCCCTCCTGGCTGGTCTACCTGCATGTGCCATCCGACCTCTGCAGCTCATCCAGAATGCAGCTGCTCGTCTGGTCTTCAACCTTCCTAAATTCTCCCACACCACTCCGCTCCTCCGCTCCCTTCACTGGCTTCCGGTAACTGCTAGAATCCACTTCAAGACACTGGTACTTGCGTACCACGCTGCGAATGGATCTGGCCCTTCCTACATCCAGGACATGGTTAAACCGTACACCCCAGCATGTGCACTCCGCTCTGCATCAGCCAAACAGCTCGCTGCACCCGCACTGCGAGGGGGACCCAAGTTCCCATCAGCAAAAACACGTGGGTTTGCTATCCTGGCTCCAAAATGGTGGAATGAGCTCCCCATTGAAATCAGGACAGCAGATAGCTTGCACATCTTCAGGCGCAGACTGAAAACTCATCTCTTTCGACTCCACTTTGAGCGATAGAATTACTAACAAAGCACTTATACTAATAAAGGACTGGCTTATCTAAAGCCAGTTGAGTAGCACTTGAAATGTTTGGCTCTATGAAACCTGATGTACTGATATGATTCTGTTTTCTTCAAGGTTGTATCTTCCTGGTTGAATGTACTTATTGTAATTCGCTTTGAATAAAAGCGTCAGCTAAATGCAATGTAATGTAACGTAATAATTCACGTCACTACTGCTAAACTAAATGGCGTCTCATTTTTAAGAACCAGAAGCTTTAGAATTTCACGAGGTAATTTTATAGCTTTAGCTTGTGCAAACCACATTTGTTATGTCACGCATTTAACCAAAAACACGTTCAAAATGGGCTTATTATTTAGCTTTTTTCAATTTTTGTGTTGAATCTCAGGAAAACAGGAAAGTCCCTTCTTCAGCTTCCAAATAGCTCAGGGTTCAGCGTTCAAGTGCCAGAATCCCAACCTTCCCACCTCCAAACCATCATCCCAGGATCTCTTGAAATGTCCGTCTAAAAAGAACCCTGAAAGAAAAGGTTACTTTGGGCAACATTGGTTTCCTTTCTCAGTTCATTGCCACCTTTAAAAATGTCATTACATCATGACAAATGCCATCACAACCTCAGCATCGGCATTCTTTAAGCCAGGAGGCACAAGCATCCCCAACTAGATCCTTGTTGATGTGATGAAGCGTTAAGTGACTGTTGAGGATTCATTAGGTTCCTTTGGAAGATATGGAATGCTTGTGCTAGTAACCTTTAAAGGCCAGCTGATCTATCATGTAAGATCCTTGGCAAGCATGCATGAGAATGATAAACAGTGAGGGAATTCATGTTTATAGCACCTTCAGAGCTGATATCACAAAGGAGATGACAATAAAAGCAACAAAGTAAAAGCAATATGAGAGTGCACACACAATTACAAATATGAATAATGCGAACCCCAATACACCAACTCAAATAATGAATGTAGTAAACCCTTGAATATTCAAATAATCTGTATCGTAAAAATGCAGAATGGATACATAATGGATTTATTTGTAAATGCTCATTAAAAGTGCATTATACTCTACATTATTATTTCATCATATTAATATATTTATAGGTAATGCATTCTAATACGCAGGCCTTTCAATTATTCAATGCAGTGTATCTGCATAACTGTTATTATGAACATATTAAAGCTGGAAACACTCCATTTTATTGTCATTTTAAAGGCTGTAGTTTGTGGTAAAGTTGAATTGCGTCATACCAAGGGGGGGTCTCATATTTAGTCAACTTTCTAATATAAATACAATGGACACATATTCAATCAATGAACTCTCAATGTCATGATGCACTGTTTCTTATTATAATAAAAAATACAATTATCCAGTGTATTATTTGTAAAGATATGGCCTATAATTAAATAATTCAAGGATAATTTGTTGTCATTGCGTAACAAGGTGGCATGGTTTTGACATATCATACCATGTCCATGTTGTAGATTTTTCAACATATTATACTATATTTTGGAATTACTATATCATGTTGACTTTTCATCAAAGCTATAGTCATTTTTTCTCATATTTTAAACATATTGAACTTTCCTGTGCTGTTCCACCACGCTAAACAAAAAAGAAACATTACCAATCAGAAAAATACAGTTGTTGTAAAGTTGCATTCCTGGAGTACAATTTAGAAATGTACAACTGAAATTCATTTTGCAACCGTCATAAAAAAATAAATACAGGTTTGTCCACACTTTGCATTGAATACAAAAATATCCACCAACACAGGTGAATATAATATTTTCCCAGCTCTCTGTTGTGAATACTAATAAAATACCATTACCTGTGCAGACAGGTAAACACAAGGCCACTGACACGGTCACTTTATTAGATGGGGTTACAGACTAACCTTGGCAGCAATGAATGCAATCAATGTGGTAAATTGAATTGAGCACAGTTTCTCGGTCTCCAGTCGGCCTCAGTTGCCACAGGCAGGACCTCCTTGTGTTCCAATCAGAGGCACTTATTGAAATCCCAGACCCCTGATTTCGAGATAACCGGTCAAATCCATCGGGCAGAAGGAAATAATCCAGCAGGGGAAATATTAAATGAAAGCTAAAATCAGAATAGACTTTCCGAAAGAAAATGTGTCGCTAACGTAATCCGATTTTGAGTTATAACTCCGACCTGAATCCAGCAGAAAAGCACACAGAGCCTTAACCAAACATTATTACTTTGAAATATGTATCCGGCTGACTTGTTTTAGGGCTGCTCAGGGGCATTTTGTCCAGACTCAAGGCAGGTTTTAATAGGTAATCATTTCACTGCTGTCCATCACTTTACACTGGAGGGAGCTGCAACCCCATTTAACTTAAACTGGTGCTTGAAAGGCCAGTAGGCAGTAACAGGGATGGATTTGTTGACAGCACAAGTCAACATCCTGCAGGCTTTCAACTTGAAAGGCAGTGATTTAGGCGCTCAGTGTTGTGTGGATTACAATGTGGTCTTGTTTGTCTGCCTGGGTTTTTCTTATCTGGGGCTTTGATGGTGGCAGCTCACAATTCAGAGGAAACTAAATTAACTTAGGTGGCGACACAAGATGGAAAATGTAATGTTTGTGTGCTGAGGTGAGGAGGGAATTTCAGACGATCAGCAAAATCATAAAACATCAAGAAGGATTTTTTTATGTGTAAGTACTACTGGCAGAGTTGAGCAAAGAAATGTGTACCATGGCGTATGTTGCAGCTAATTAGGAAATTACAATGTGTATCAACATCTGAGCTGCGTCCATTCGTGAAGCCTAGTGTTTTATCAGCTTAACGTTCAGTATATGGCTGATCAATTTCCCCAGGGTCCACTCGGGCGCTCATTCCTCTCCCAGTAGTAAAAGGATCAATGGTGGGATTTGTTAACCCAGATTAAATGAATGGGGAAGGTAATCAGAGAGGCAGTAAGCCTATACTTGCGACCAAGAACGCTCGGATAACATATACATTACATACGTAGGAGGACCCATGAGACACAATCAATGCAATAACAAAGAACACAACAGTGCAGTCTAAAGCAGTCATTGTACACATGGTGTGTGCTTTTAAAAGCATTGATCCAAACTCCCTGTACACTTGTCTGTATGAACTCTATATAAAGCTCAACTCCTGACAGACAATTATGAAGAAACACCATATTATCCGAATTTTAGCTTCACATAGCTCCAATTGCAGCGTGGGATTGATTTGATCATTTTATTGATGCTTTAAGGATTTAAGGCACTTCTTGGTTAACCTAGTTATTTCAACCCTGAGGGAGCTTTACAGTGCCCTGAGCGACTTTCTAACTTTGTGTTCTCCTTTAATACACACTTGAACAAATATAGAAACTCTGAGAGCCTAAATTGTCAGTAGGCCTAACTGGTTTAGGAATTTTTTGACATTGTTGGAAATGTGCTTATTTTTCACTTCGGTCTGTTTAAAATATTGATACCACTCTGTCTGTTAAATATGCGGCTAAAGCTAGCGGACGTTAGCTAAGTAGCAATTTAGCACAATGATGAAATGCGGGGACAAAACTATGCTGGCTCTTTCAGATTCTAAAATAACATTTAAAAAACCTCAGTAATCAACCACCAACAAGTGTACCTAATTTGTGTAAAACACATGTTTTTGGTTAGCATGCTACAAGTCTTTGTGCTATCCAACTGCTAGCTGTAGCCTACCTCATTTTTAAACAGAAAAATATAAGAGTGATGTCTTCTATTTCTTCACAAGAAAGTGAGTCTTATTCCAAAATGCCAGACTATTCTCAAGTTTTCACTGCACAATGAGTGCTTTTACTTGATACTTAAAGTACATTTAGCTGATTATACTCGCATACTTTAACTTAATTCAGGTTTTAAAGCCATTTGTTATATCCCATATCCTTTGGCATGGGTTCATCTTGTGACTTTTGCTCATTTAATTGTTGCTAAAAAACACTTTACCCTATACTTGTTTTCTTTACTAATTGAAGAATTGACATTTAGTAGGCATTGTGGTAATTAACGCGGTGATTAGTTACTTCAGCGGTTGTCAATATTGTCCCCACACATTTTGGTTATCTATCTTTTTAATTGTAGTTAGTATTCCTCATTAGAACACAGGATGGAAAAACAACTGCTTTGAAAAGAAAGCATGGAACAAAATGTAGTTATTTCCGATTAAAAAAGTGGAACAGTTAATTTGAGCTCTGCATTTTCTAACCTCAAAGGATGGCGAGGTCACAGTTGGAAGGTCTGACGTAAACTGGAGATTAATTAGAGTAGCCTTTTGTGACGTTTTCACAGTCTTTGCACTCACAGTTATGTATTAAATTGCCTGGTAATAATAACCCCATGTGCGCTCCCTGCCTCATTCATTTTTGATAAATGAGCTTGAGAGATTCAGTAGTCATATTCAATTTGTGTTAGACATATTGAGGCAAATATTTTCCTAAAATTTAATTTCATACTATTCTGTTGTACCCACAATCCACTGGCAATGTTCAACATTGTGTTAATGAATACATGTAATTATGATCAAGAAACATACTAAGCAGGAAATGTACCAGAAAAAACGATGTGTTGGTGACAGTGTTAAATGACTACCAACCTAGATTACTGTGCAGAGAAGGGTCTATAGATTTGAATTGAAGCCAAAGTCCTAAACTGCGTTAATCAGTTCATTATGGCCACTTGGAAGCAGCATATCAAGCTGAACATTGAATTGATATCCTCCTAAAGTTGCTACTGAAACGTGATAGCAAACAATGTTCTATTTGCACCTCATAACACACCCCAACAAATCACACATTTACCTCAATTTTTTGGGTAGTGTAGTGTCTTCAGCTCTCCTAAACTCCAAAAAAACTATTTGTTTCTCCGAATCAAAGGGGAAAAACACAAAAGCATTGTACACAATTTAAACCAATCAATGTTGTGTAACAAGGATAATCTGGTGTTTTTGAGTTGATGAGTAATGCAGATATCACTGTAAAATGAGTTTGTAACATTCTTTTCTCTTTGTATAAACGTATAACAATAATAATGATAATAATAATAAAGGCCAGCAAGATTGTTCAAATTAATAAGAAGCCCCGTGCGTGGTCGGCGTAGGAAAGCAAGAGAATAAATGGCAAAGATATGTAGATAAATGTATTTGCGTTACGTCCAAAAAAAACGTAATGTGGGAGAAAATAAGTTTCTAGCTAAACGTAATTGACAATGCAGTTTAGTTCTGTGGGGATGTAATTTTGAGGAGACTGGGTTGGAAATATAGAGAAAGAAAATCAGGGGGCCACGACCAGAGCCTTGACGTAATCCAGTCCATATCTAATGTCAGAAAATATGTATGTAGTATTAGAAGGAAACACTGCATTGTGGACCAGTAACCCAACACAAATTAGTTAAAAACCTGTTAAACCCCGAGCCTGTTTTTCAGGTTTCAGGCTCGAAAAGGACATTCCCAGAACAAATGACCATATCTTCCCTTCTAAAAGGGTTAAATTAATAATCTTTTTTCTCGAAGTAATGATAAACCTGTGAGTTGGATGTAGAAAAGTCAGAATCAATATAGATGTTTTTTATTTTAAAGAAAATTCAGATTGAACATGGTAAAAAACTGTAAATTATAGTGTCCGTCCAAAATATATTTTGTACTTATAGTGAAAACTACCCTCGGATGATGGTAAGGTAGACTAAAAGCTTTAGGAATCC